CTGAAAATATAAAAATCAATGACCCTTAATACAAGATCAAATGGAGCAAAAGTCTCCAGGTAACATACCCTAAATTCTCTAAAGAGTATCCTATAATAAAATAAAGGAAGTGCCTCACAAATACAAAGGCAAAAAAAACCTATACAAGAACTACTATGTACAAAAGAGCTAGGCCACTTCTCAAGATGTGATGGCCCACATGAAGAGTAGCTTGGGCTTAGAAAGCCCACTAACCTCCAAGCTAGCCAATATTTCTTGTATACTCCTAACCATAGCTCGAGTAATTGGACCCTTGGCCTATGGTCTTCCATCATATCTCCTAGCCTACTAGGCTAAACATTTAATCTTGCTTGCAATACTGTGATTATATGCTGACCCCAATAATTTTTGCACATGATGAGAATCAAATTTGAATTCTTTGTAACACCTTTCTATCCCTAAGCATAATAAATAAAGATTTTTCTTTTTGAAGAACAAATAAATTAAAAACATTTAATAAAAACAAATTAGAATTAGTTCATTTAGTAAAAGGGTTCACAAATACATCATGATAAAATCTCTTCAATTAAAACATAATTAAATTTCCAAAACTAATCGAAATAAGGCAAAAGCTATTTGTTTACACAAACTCCAACAAATATAAAATCACCATAAAATAAAATTCATTGCAGCTATAAATGCAACATAATAAGCTCTATGTCTTGATGTCATATTATCATAGCAAGGACCCAAAGTAATCATAGAAAGCCCTAAGTTTCGCCTTATCAAATTCCTCCTCTTGTACTTAATCTAACCCTACAAGTGGTAATTGTGACACCCTCTACCCTGCATATCATAATACAAATAATAAAATTTGGAATACCACAGTCTTTCTTTTTTAAAATACCAAACATGTTCAGATAGAGAGCACCACATTCATAATTTAAACAAATAACATAATTAGTGGTAATTAAAAAAGAAATAAGGTTAAAGGTTTTGAAAATAATTTAACAGAAACAACATCCTAATTTAATTCTATCTACACCCCGATGTCACATGTCTTATCAGAGAAAATCCCAACATAGAAGATTAAGCTTCATCATCAACATCCTCAGCCTCATGCTGATAATCACCTGTATGACAGTCAAAGAAAATAACATAAGAGAAAAGGGAGTAAGAAACATCTCACTCTGGCTCACAGTGTAGAAATTTACGCCGAATAGCCAAACACAAACAAAACAAGTATAACATAGATAAATTAATAATAACATCACATCTCACTCATCCAAGACATATCAATTTTTCATATAACATTAAAATGCACATGTATGGACACGGACTACATTTTATCATGCATGTGGCGCCAGTAACATATCACATGGCATATTACCGCTAGCAATACACGAAGAGTAGTCTAGGAGTACATGTCGGGTACCCTCTACACACTCTCACTAGAAGGACATACTACTAGGGTCTCATCAAGATAGCTAAGTCGCGCAAGATACATCCCATGCACACAATGGGCGAGACTGTGACTTACAAATTGAGCTATCCCCAAGGACAAAAGTCTACTTTTAAAATCGGTTGATAACCGATCTTAAAAGTCTACCTTTTCAAAATTGGCTCTTTTAAGATCGGTTCCATAACCGATTTTAAAAGTCCAAAATAACCGATTTTAAAAGCCTTTTTTCCACTAGTGCCGTCAGGACCTTAGTGGCGAGGGCCTGCTCTAGTACCTTGGTT